CTACTGCATGGGAAAAGGTTTGCTTTGCTACTCTCATAGCCCTACTTGGCTTCCCTTTCTAATTCATGTTCAATAGCTGAAGCTACCTTGTATGTGCTCACCTGGTTGGGTCTGATTGCTGTAGGACTTTGCTTCAACTCTTTTCCCAGGTTACTGAAGTTTTAGCCATTTTTCCAGCCTCATCATCAGTAGGAAAACTTTAACAATTCATTATTTTTTCTCCTTCTAAACTCGTCCCTCTCTAAAGTGCCCCCCTCCTCATCTGTTGGAAAACTTCAACAATTCGTTCTTTTGTTCCACTCATCAAGAGCAATAAAACCAATTATCCTGCGCACCACAGATGCAAAGGGAGCCCTAAAACTCAAATCTGAATGCCCTTGGGTTAACAATTTGAATCAACCGACGCACCCGCAAGTCCAACACAAGCAGCTGTTCCTTTGAATGACTCTCTCAAATGCAGTGCCATACAAGCCTCAGACTGATGGAAGTAGAACCATGCCTATACATTCATGTCCTACACGTTGACCCTATTGAGTGTGAAACGAAGTCCCTCATCGATTGGGTACAAAAATAATGTGCAATATGCAAGTGTCACCCTCACCTCAAAAGCTAGCTTTTGGGGTTGAGCATGCTCACTCGGCAGCACCTGCCACGTGTAGGCCAAGGATGCACCCTACCCATCACTAGGTACTTAGGTTCTTATACCATTTTACATGGTCTAAACCGTGTAACATTGAGAACTGCTCATTTTTTGTTTGCCCAAGGTCAACACCTCGATGTGGCATTCCAAGGAAGAACTAGGTTACATGATGTGGTCTCCTTCAGTGCCTTTCTATACAAAGTCCTAGCATTAGATGTGTTATGTGTACTTCTCAGGATGAGGAGAGGCTGAGCCATGAGTTGAAGCACATGATGCTTAGTTATTTAAACACCATCCATCCCCCCCCCCACTGCCAACAGAGTATGTTATGGTTTTGTGTGACCTAGTTTGATTCACTGCTTCCTCTATGAACTTTGGTGGCACCCCCCAACAAGAAAAAAAGGATGTTACTCCCTTTCTATCATGTCATGTGTAGATTCTACATGGGATGTCTACAAGATAGGTTTTTGCCTTAGTTGGGACCTCTGTTATTTACTGCACTTGCATTTGGTTTTACCTCGACACTTTCTGGTGTTTCTGTATCTAAAGCCAAAAATAAAAATAATAAAAATTTAATAGAGTGCTGAGTCTGCTGATCCTGTTGTACTATGTGAATCACTCTTTTGACTTGGTTTCTGAGTCATTTCAAATCTGATCCTATTGTCAATGCCATGTCATTATATTTGGCTGTCCACTTTCTGGGCTTGAGACACTGCTGTATGCATATAATTGCATCGTGGTAGTTTAAGGTTTTGTTATTTATTTTGAATCCTTAATATACAAATTTAAGTTCTTAGTATATCCCTCTCTCCCCCACTCCCAATTGTTATCATGTGTAAGTCATTTAGCAAAATTCTGAACACTAACCGTGTTGATCATTCATTGAAGATAAGGGAGATGTAATAGATGCTGAAACAGGGTCTCAGGAAGATGATATTCTTATGCAGGATGAGATCTACAAATCCTGTCGAGCCAGCATCAAGCGTGTAAGTTACTATTTTTTTGTAATTGTCATTCTATCCCCATCCCCACCCAACTAAAGACACAAAAGGGGGGCCGGGGCAAAAAAAAAAAAGAACACTTATCTCATTGAGCCATGGATGTCCTTCAGGAGGAAGAGACCGTTATGCGCGAGAGGGATCGATATGAACTAGAGAAGGGATAGCTTATACGTGAAATGAAACGTATACGAGATGAGGATGGAAGTGTCATTCTATCCCCATCCTTCTCTCCCCCACTCCCAATTCTTTATTTTGAATCCTTAATATACAAATTTACTATTTTTTTTTCTTTCCCTCATTTATGAGTTAGAACATATTCACTGTGTACCATCCAAAGACAGCTTCTTGGTTTTAAGCTTTGATTTGTATTTTTCTGTACCTTTCCTCTTTCCACTTTCTATATGTTCTTACCTGTTGCTAATTTAGCAGTCAATTGATCATTTCTTGTCCTGTAAATTCAGGTATCTGCCTCCGGAATGCTTTGAGCTAAGCAAGACGCCTCTCATATCTTCTAAGGTCAGTGAAATCGAACTATATTTTCATTTGTGAGGACTATATTTTCAATGCATCCCGATACCTAATAGTTGTCCCCTTTGAAGTATCTTCACTTTAGATGGAAGTGTTAATGATTTCTGTGTTTCACCTGCTCAATTTAACAGTTCATTTTCTTAGGCTAAGGTTATTCCTAACATTATATTTTTTTTTGGCAAAATAGGTTGATGTTTGGTCGGCTGGTATTCTACTTTACCAAATGCTGTTTGGCAGATGTCCTTTTGGGCATGACCAGTCACAAGAGCGAATTTTACGCGAAGATACTATTATCAAAGCTTGCAAGGTGGAATTCCCTTCCAGACCTGCTGTCTCAAATGAAGCGAAGGTGGGTTCTTCCAATTTGTTCATTGCCATTCATTTGGATTAGTAATTTTTTTTTTTTTTTGGTGTCCTGTTTCCAACCAAAGTAAGAAAAAGAAAAAGAAAAAGAAAAAGAAAAAAGAAAAAGGCAAAAAAGGTAGAAATAAAAATAAGGGAAAATCGGTTTAAGGTCCCTATGCTGTCTCAAATGAAGCGAAGGTGGGTTCTTCCAATTTGTTCATTGCCATTCATTTGGATTAGTAATTTTTTTTTTTTTTTTGGTGTCCTGTTTCCAACCAAAGTAAGAAAAAGAAAAAGAAAAAGAAAAAAGAAAAAGGCAAAAAAGGTAGAAATAAAAATAAAGACAAGAAGAAGGGAACGGAGAAATTAAAAAAAAAATAGTTTTCTTTGACATGGCTAATTGCTCAGGAAGTATACTAGTTTCTTCAATACAATTCCTCACATCTCTTTGATTTTCTGCAGGATTTTATTCGGCGATGTTTAACATATAATCAAGCAGAGAGGCCAGATGTGTTGACCGTTGCTCAAGATCTGTATCTTACATACACAAAGAAGTGAACATGATTACAGATGTGTTGTGCCTATTTACCTCAATTATTTGCTTCTTATTCTTATAAGGATGTAATAATACATATACGCAGAATTGTGTCAAGAAAGCCAAAAGATGTATGGGCAGTTCGTCTCACCATTGGTACTTATCTCATAGATGGCAAATATTTCAAGCCCTTGGATCTTGTGGATTGATTCACTTCATTGTTTTACTATATTCAATGTATACGTGAATTTTCATGGGGATTCGTATGGTCTTCTTTTAATTTTTTAAATGATTCTTTGTTGTATTTTACATTTGTGGTTTTTATCATGTGAGGTTTAAAAAAATACAATAAACTTCACTTCATAAGTTTAGTATAATTATTGATTTTTCTTTTAGTAAAACCAAAGTAATCAAAATTAATTCACATAATTTGTAGACGCAGAATAAACAAGAATAAAACATATAATTTAATATATAAGAGATGATAATATAATTTTTTTATTTATTTATACTTGTAACAAATTACTGATGAAAAGGAGACTGAATGTCAAGTAAATTAAAATTTTAAGGAGATTTAGTATAATTATACCAAATTTATTTGGTTCGATATACTTTCTCTCAAGAAGATCAGTATAATTTACCCTTAAAAATAAAAGGTGTTAGATGATGTTCATTGAATGTTGGACTATTTGTGTTCAATATAATATACTTTCTCTCAAGAAGATCAGTATAATTTACCCTTAAAAATAAAAGGTGTTAAATGATGTTCATTGAATGTTGGACATTTGTGTTCAATATGAGGCACGAGGTGATTATAGCTTATTTTAATTTGAGAGTCTGTGCCAGATTGTTTGGTGCAGTTTCTATTTATAACTTATTAGACAGAAATAACTTAAATAAATTGAAAAAAGCTGATTATTTGAAAGTTGGGGTAGGGGTGCTTTTAGTTTCTAGTTTCTACTTTCTGATTATCAGCTTTTAACTTAAAAAAAGCTTCACGACTGTTTGTTATAGTTTTTGGAGATGATTATAGCTTATTTTGATTTGGGAGTTTGTGCCAAATTGTTTTGGTGCAACTTCTACTTATAGTTTATTAGATAGAAATAACTTAAATAAGCTGATTATTTAGAAATTAGGGTACATGTACTTTTAGCTTCTGCTTTCTAATTATTAGCTTTGAACTTAAAAAAAACTCCACCAAACAAGGCGAGGGCCACACTCACTTGCCAAACATAAATATCTGTCAATGTTGTCACAAATTAATCTCATTATTAATAATAAAATTAATTATGTTAATGTTATTTGAGCACTTGGTTTAATTAAAAAATTCAGATAAAAAATAATAAAATTTCAAATATTATAAAATTTATTCTCAAGGGATTCATATTCTTTTAGAAATGTGAGATTATCGTAGGGCTTATGGGCACGAGTTTCCTATAGTTTGAGAAAGTAATTTTAACTTAAGTAATAGGAGTAACTTTCATTTTCCATTTCAATTTGTTTCAAATAGTTGAATTATGAGAATCCAAAATTATATTTTCTTGCCATCCAAACTAAGCTTATTAGTAGATGGAGTGGTAAGTTGATACCATTTTTCTCCCTTCAAAAATTACTTAAAAATACCTTGTTTTTTGAGAATCCACCATGATTTTCAAATATTGTTTTAATCATTACTCATTTAGGGTGTGTTTGGTAACGTTTACGTTTTCAGTTTATATTTATAAAAATTTTATAAACTAATTTTTTTTTATTTTTTGTTTATTTTTAGAAAAACATAAACTGCAAACGCGTTTGGTAATTGACAAAATGTTTAAAAAAATTTAAAAATATAAAAAGCCATTTTTCTCCCTTCAAAAATTACTTAAAAATACCTTGTTTTTTGAGAATCCACCATGATTTTCAAATATTGTTTTAATCATTACTCATAATGATTGTAATTTTATCTTATCTAGATCTAGTGACTCATGTTAATTTAGATAGTTAAAGTAGCATAACAAGAAGCCCAAATTCTTCAGGAAGGACTACACTACTTTGGGACCAGCAAGAGAAGGGAATGAGCTCGGGTGGCCTCATTTCGCCTTACCAACCCTAGGGAAAATCCAACTAGCCTTTCAAACTAGTACATTTTGTAATTGACTCAATAGCTTCTTCAACAAAATTGGTTATTCGATAAAGTTTTGAATGATTTTCTAGTTAGATTGTTCTTGCACATTCAACGTCAAGTCTAGAACAAAAACAAAAAATTACAACTAGTCCAATTTTGCATCCGTGAACGAAAAAAGAGCTCAAATCACTATATGTAGCCTACATCGGATTAGTGGTCAATCCAAAATTGAAGGGGAAGAGTGGATCATAATGTGGATCCCCAAAATTCATTGGGAGTTGATTCACATTCTTGAGCCAAGTCTGGGAAAGTTTCCCAGTGAATCCGTAGTCCCCAAAAAGGACATCAGTCACGCCTTTGCCTTCACTTCCTGGTAGCCATGCAGCAACAAGAGCATGAATGGAGGGGAGGTAAGGCTCGATCACAAGAGGCCGGCCAGAGATGAGGACGACAACACATTTTACACTCCCGCATACATTGGTAATTGTGTCAGGACCGGGTTTAGGAATCGTCAAGTTCAAGTTGTCTCCATGAAACTCAGCATAAGGTGGCTCTCCCACAACAACAATTGCATAGTCAAAGTTTTTGGACTTGGCAAAATTTCCATCGGGGTTCTCCTCGTAGACAACTTGTGTGTTTGAGCTGACTGCAGCTTTGATGGCGTCTAAGATGGTAGTTCCTATCCATTATAAGATGATAATCTCTTGTTAAAAAACTAAAATAAAAGTATTTTCAAAGAACATAAATCTTGAAATTGACAATTAGGATACCGGTAGTTAGCTTGTTGCCACTCATTCCCTGCCAAGTAATAGTCCAACCACCACATTGAAGACCCAAATTGTTTGCATGACTACCGGCAACTAGGATACTTTCCGCATTTCTGGGGAGAGGAAGCAAGGGACTTTCTCCATTGTTCCCGTTCTTCAAGAGCACGAGTGATTTCCTCACGGCTTCCCTTGCAAAATCTCTACGAGCCTGCTCTATTAATGGTTATTGTTTTGTTTTGTTTTTTATCGTATCGAAGACAAGAATAGTTCAAAAACATTTAACAAATAAAGGGAGAAATAAAATGCGAATTATTAGTTCACTAACCTAACTTCCAAGATGATTAACTAGGCTAAAATCCGCCAATGGATTCTCAAAAAGGCCCATAACAAACTTGACCCTCAAAATCCTTTTGACAGCATCATCAATACGACTCATGGGGACAATATTCTTTTCGACTAAGGATGTCACGATATCAATGAAGTCCGTATAGTTGGAAATGGCCATGATCTATAAATTTAAAAAAAAAAAAAAACCCGAGCAACGTTGGCTTCAAAGTCAGAACTCATTTTCACTTATTAGAAAGTATTGTTTCTACGTAGAAGAGACTACTACCCATGTCAATGCCCACTAGAATCCCCTTTTCCACAGAGTATGTGTAATTTGCAAGGACCGGAGTGGTGATCTTGTCAATAGCTTGATAATGAGAGATGACAAAACCCTAAAAATTTTAACAAATAACTAGTTAGAACTGACTTTTTTGAACTATTATGAACTAGCAGTGTTTTCGTTTCATCAAAATACTACTGAATATACCCTAAATTTAAGGGTGTCCTTGAGGAACTTGGTAACTAGATCACGATTAGCGTGCATTTTCACTCCATTCCAGCTCGAATAAGACACCATGATTGTTCCCACGCCGTTAATGATGGAGTTGTAGTATGCAGGCATGTGAATGCTTAGCAACGTGTGCCAGTCAGTCACAGTGCTGTTTTCATAGATTCCCTTGACTGTGCCACCATCACCCACAAAGTGTTTTGCACAAGCCAAAACTTTATCCCTTTATAAGATTGAAAGAATAATTGGGAATTATGTAAGCGTGAAATATTTATGGTGCGCGAATATCAATAACAAATTATCGAAAAAACAAGCAATTAGGTCCCAAGATAGGCTTACTTTCCACCAACATAAGGAACACCCTTTCGATTAGGGTTCTCCCCTTGTAAACCGATTACCATTTCAGACATTGCTTGTACAATTTTGTGATCCTCGCTATAGCTTTCATAGCAACGACCCCATCTTGGATCTGCATACCTGTTTTATAAATGTTTTTTTAGGATCAAACATTAGATTTTATTTTTTGCAATTCCACTAGTCTGAGAAGCTATTATATTTGGGAACATTGGTTTCTGGATCTGAATGCATGTATGCATACCGCAATGCATGGTGCAAACGCATAAGGAATGCCAGTAGCTCTAACTTCAAGAGCAGTGGCAACACCAATCCTCTTCACAAGTTCTGGATCCCTGCAACATGACGAGTCTACGCTCGAGCGGCCAAACCCACGCTCGAGCGTACAACACTGCACAAGAAATACTGGATGGGTGTATTCCCCGCTCGAGCGCCAACACCCCCGCTCGAGCGGACAAGCCAAAAATCTGGGCAACTAGTTTTGGTTTCTAAACTCAACCAACCTGTAACAAACCTGCCCAACACATTCTATAACTCAAATTGAAGTAAAAAGGATGTAAACAAGATAAAGAACAACTACCAACATCTACGGACCCATGTCCGGATCACTGTACAACAAGGGTAAACCCGGGATCGCTATATGTATGCATACCGCAATGCATGGTGCAAACGCATAAGGAATGCCAGTAGCTCTAACTTCAAGAGCAGTGGCAACACCAATCCTCTTCACAAGTTCTGGATCCCTGCAACATGACGAGTCTATCAATACAATTGTACACACTGTGACAAAATATTTGATGTAGCTCCTGCTTACAATTTTTGAGGCAGAAATAACTTAAATAACATAATTGTTGAAAATAGAGAGATGTGCTTTCAACTTCTGCATCTGATTATTAGTTTTTAACTTGCTAAGAGCTGCACCAAATAAGTCTACACATAGCTAGTATGTTTCCACATGATTAGTTAAATTGTTTTGTTCAACCTGACTTTTCAATGTGTTTGATACCTACAAATTAAAACCCATATGCCCAATTGAGCACTTAATGCATATAACAAACGTAACAAACATATTTACTCACAAATATGCAGAAAAATGAATCAATATCATCATCATCATCGTCATCATCATCATCCTCATCATCAACTAGATTTTAAAAAGTACTTGCCTTGTTGCTCCAAGACCAATGTTATGTGGGAAAATTGTGGCCTTATAGACATTGTTGTGTCCGTGCACTGCATCGATTGCATAAATCATGGGAATTCCAAGGTGGCTTGAGAGCGAACCTCGCTGAAACTGATTCACCATGTTGACCTAGTCCTCGGGCAGAGTCCTCATTACGAGGAACGCTTCCTCCAGTGCTTAGTATGCTACCAAATGCATAATCCCTCAACTTCTCATGGGTGGCATTGGCCTTTTCTATCTGTATCATCTGCCCAATCTTCTCGGCTAGAGTCATCCGGTTCATGAGGTCACGGATTCGAATGTTAAGGGGCTGTTTGGGGTCCTTGTATTTGGTGTGTTCTGATTTTGGTTCTGCCATGGCTATCCATAGGCATAATATGAATAGGAATCCCACTTGGGGAAGAATTGAGACCTTTGGTGCCATTGTTGTAATTCACAAACTTGTTTCACTTTCTAAAATCAAAAACATAAAATCAAGATTCATATTGATCAATTGGATGGGAGTGAAAGAATGTAATGACAGTGGTGCAAACGTGATGCATTTAATCTAATTTTTGGTGATTTGATGAATGAGAATTTTTTTGTTTTTGTTTTTGCAATTTGGTGTATGCAAAAAAATATCACACACACACACACACAAAAAAAAAAAAAAAAAAAAGCCCTGATCTGAAGAAGAAGGAGAAAAAAGTAATTCTGATGAAGAAAGAAAAGAAAAAAGGCACAAATGCAGCGGATTTACAATTTTACATATAATTTTTTTGGCAATTTGATAAATGAGAGGAATGGGTTGAATTTAAAAACTATTAGCAGTTATTAACTAGGGCAATTAACAAAATGAGTAGCATGACAAAACTTCAAAATTGTAATGAGAGTTATTTACTAGAGTAGATAACCATATGAGCATTTTTGAAGGAAAAAAAAAGAGAGAAAATTTTAAAATTGTTATGACTTGTGTGTTTTATATAATTGAGAGTGATTCTGATGAAAAATATGACACACACAAGATGCATTGAAACCTATAATACGAAATGTGTACATGTTACACATGTATGTAAAGAATTGGAACATGAACATGAGCGAAAGAGAAAGTCAAAGAACAAAACAAAGAAAAAAAAAAAAAACTGCATTCAACATAGTAGAGTAGAACACCCCCCCTCCCCCCTCCCCCCCCAAAAAAAAAGAAAAAGAAAAAAAAAAGTGGTTTAAAAACAAGTTCTATTGAAAAACAAGATACATATAGGCGTGCGCATACAAACAAACAAAAAGTCAAACAGTGTTCAAGAAAAGAAGAAATTTTCAAGTACCTGTGATTGACAAGGATGAGTTATTTATTTTTGTTTATTTATAATTTATATATTTTTTTAATACTTTTTTTGGGACAAATAATAAGAATGAAAACTTGAAGAGTGAGATAAGCGAGTGAGTGTATATATATGCATAAAAATTGCATAATTGCTTTTTGTAACTTTTGTTGTGGACATTTTAGGAACTTCAAAAAAATGTGATATGTTGGGTGTAGGATTAATGTTCTACATAAAGAGCACAATCTCAAAGGAAAGGTTGGATATGCAATACACAAACTCTAATAGAGTAGTTTGATTACTATCACTATATATCCAAAGATATGGTACTGCCTTAAGCATTAGGGTGCTCATCTTATGTTAGCTGACCAGAGTATTAATGGCGTACTATTTTACAATTTCATGATCAGTGTGTTATTCATCTCAGTTGATCTCTTTATTAACAACATGGTCCAGTTTTTTTGTCGCACAATAAATAACAATTTTACTAACAAACTCATAAGTTTTACTTAGATCAACCATCACTTAATATAAGCCTACATAAACTTGTGAGTGTATTAAGATAAGGTTGATATGTAGAGAATATATAGCAAGCCATTTACTTCATTAAAGTAGATATATTTCAAAATTTAAGGGCACAATATAACAATAGTATAATATTGAAGAAGCTCTTATGCCAATTTAAATTATTTAGAAGGAAAGCATCTGACAAAATATGTGAAATAGTCAGTCCTGGTTTTTGGAAGTAAAATAAAAAAAAAAACTAGTGACAAGAATAATATAAGACTACACATATTTTTCAAAACAACAAAACCCAACCCTGTTTGGAGATTGTTGATTTCACATTCAATTGAATGATATCTCCCATAATGTAGGGTCACTTGCTATTTTTTTATTTTTTTTTTTACTGATCAATAAAAAATTATTTACAAATATAAAAAAATATATTCAAATTAGATAATTATAGTCCAATAATACATATCAATAAGCCTCCAACAACTAACACTGGAAAGAGTTTATAATGTAAGGAAATAAATATTAATAAAACTAAGAGTGTCCATAACACAGGAAAAATAATCGATATTTATCTTTGAAAACATGTAATACATGACCTCTTAATTAAGAGTGTATAGGAGTGGGGAAAATTGAACTAGTCCAACCGATGAAAAACTTAACGAATTTCAAAATATACTTGAATTTGACTTATTTACCTTTTAAATGAATAAAAAATGAGTTTTTATTGAGCGCGAGTAATTTAGTTATTTATTTAATTATTTTTGTTACAAGGGTCATGTTATCGACCGCCCATTGGGCGTTTAGGACTAATAATGTAAAAAATGTAAGAATTTTGATGGGAATTGACTGGAAAATCAAAAAGTCATGTTTACTTTTAATTGTTTCCACAAAATCTTATTTTTTATTTTTTTGGCAATGTTTTCATAAAAAGTGTCACTAATTTTTACTTTTTAGTGAAAGTTTGAAAAATTTGCCATAGAAAAATGTCATTAATTGTTATTTTTTAGTGACAAATTTAGAAAATCATCACAAAAAAATATCATTAATTGTTATTTTTTAGCAAATGATTCATAAAATTTCATAAAAATTCTTTAAGTCTAACTATTAGGATTTTTTAATCTATATAAACACTTGAAGGATTTTTTTTTGATCGGCAAAAAAGAGACTTCATTGATGTAATAGTGTTGGAAATGGTTATAAAATTCTGGATAAAACCAGAATTTTTTCCTATAGTTCGGTCTATTTTTTAGGTGGGCCCCGAGTGTCGGTTTACTCGGGTCAAAGTGGTAATGCGTTCTATGCCGCGTTGTGATTCACGTGGTATATTTGGTTGCTCAAAACCATTACCGAGTCAATGGGAAATTGAAGCCAAAGTGTGCTCCATGGAAATGGAGTTTTGGTGAAAATTCCTTAAGGTTGTAAATTGGCTTGTCCCACATTGTTTTGATGGGAGGTTTTGAAAGGGTTTATAAGGCTTAGGGTGAGATACTTGGGGTGTGCCCCAAGGGGTACCCAAGTGTTTTAGAGGGAGAGGTTATGGGCAAAATGGGCTAGACCCATTGGACCCAAAAATCACCGCACACACGCGCCGCCGTCCAGTCGGGCGGGCTGGGCTGGGGCGCGGGTGCGTGGTGTGTGGTTGGGTTGGGTTTCTAATCTTCTTGGGCCAAAAACATTTGAATTTAATTTTATTTTTTATTAAAATAAAATCCAAAATTCAAATTAAATTGGTTTGGATTTTTTGTTCATCCAAACAGGGCCCTTCCCGTTTTCAAACAGAAATAAACTGTTTTGGAATTAGTGCACACCCAAACAGGGCCCTTCCCGTAATTGCTATCTGTTTGAATTGTTGAATCTGTTTGAAATTCAAAACCCAACAGGTATCATACCTGTTCAATTCAAAACCAAGAGCCACATACCTGTTCAATTCAAATCCAAGAGCCACCTTCACATCTATAAATAGGACCACCCTCATTTGATGTTTTGAATTCAGAAATTCGTATTTCACCTCTGCAAATTATATTCTTCATCTTGCTGCATTTTATTTCCGAAAGAAAGAGTGTAAACACTTAGTGTGTTTGTAAGGCAAACAATTTGTAGTGCTGCTATTGTTTACAGTAAGATCATTTCATCCTGGGAGATAGACGTCCAAATTCTGAAAGCACCGTGGAGAGGACGAATCTGTCTTAAGGACACAGTGTCAAACACTGGACTTGATCAGTAAATAATTCGAAGAAATTAAATCAATTTGATTTTTGTAATCAAACAAATTCTCTCCTTTTCCCTATTTCTTTTAAATTCTATTTGTTGTTGTGTACACAATAGAATTAAATCTTTT